TGAATTTTGTATAAATCTTACATTATGCTTTGATGGTTACGTATGTGTATTATTTATATGTTTGTTGAATAGGAGATGTTGATGATTATTGTGGTGGTCATACGAAGCAAAGGGATTAACATTACATATATTATACCATACAAAAACGTAAATGTAATAACTTAAAAGCTTAATAAATTATTATTATAATTAATTACAGTATAAATAAATTATATATGGTTATATAATTTATTTGTATTCGCTCTAATTTGGAACAAAGACCAAATAACAAAAGCCTGAGAAATTGCATGATTCATTTAGTAAAATATAAACGTTGTTCTTGTTCTATTTTTAATCATTTTAAGAAATTTCATTGAATATTGTGAATATTGTGAAACTATTAAACTTTCACTTTGATCACTTTTGTTTAATGCAGTTCAAATATGAAGACTTCAATTTTGTAATCAATACAAATTGATTACGAATTCTTTGTTAATTTTGATTGCAATGAATTTTGTATAAATCTTACATTATGCTTTGATGGTTACGTATGTGTATTATTTATATGTTTGTTGAATAGGAGACGTTGATGATTATTGTGGTGGTCATACGAAGCAAAGGGATTAACATTACATTACATATATTATACCATACAAAAACGTAAATGTAATAACTTAAAAGCTTAATAAATTATTATTATAATTAATTAAAGTATAAATAAATTATATATGGTTATATAATTTATTTGTATTCGCCCTAATTTGGAACAAAGACCAAATAACAAAAGCCTGAGAAATTGTATGATTCATTTAGTAAAATATAAACATTGTTCTTGTTCTATTTTTAATCATTTTAAGAAATTTCATTGAATATTGTGAATATTGTGAAACTATTAAACTTTCACTTTGATCACTTTTGTTTAATGTAGTTCAAATATGAAGACTTCAATTTTGTAATCAATACAAATTGATTAAATTTTATCAGTCCTATACTGAAATTATTATAGGCTTATTTGTTTGTTTGTTAATTTTAATTGGAATGAATTTTGTATAAATCTTACATTATACTTTGATGATCACGTATGTGTATTATTTATATGTTTGTTGAATAGGAGATGTTGATGATTATTGGGGTGGTCATACGAAGAGAAGGGATTAATGGTATCAATTAGAGGCTGATGGAACTAACGATCGTAATGGATATTTCTCTCGTTTTTGCAGATGGCGTAAACAAGAGCTGACCTTTTAGGATCCATTTTAATATACGCCAGCTAGACTAGTGTGCGAAGTGGAAACGTGCAAACAGAACCCGACAATTTTCGAATAGAGATTATGCTAATTTAGTGCTGGCACGACGACGCTCGCCATTATCATTATTTTCCCCTTTACATGCGAACGTTATTAATAATATTTTAGGTTTTACATCATAATTCAAACTATAGTGATGCCAGCCAGACAATGGTGCATGGAACAAGAGAGGTTTGTACATGTGTTAAGTTAATCATTGTTCTTGAATTATTTCATTGTTCCCATCGTGGATGGAAATTATGTCCATACATGAGTCGCGTTGATGTATAAATAAGAAAATTGTGGAAATATTTTCACTCTCACTAAACCATGTAATCTCCATTAAGGCTGCTGACTGACATAACCGAGTGCTGCTGAACTAATAGCCGCTCATTTCACCGGAATACCACAGTCTTTTCCTTCTCCTCCGACCATCTTTCGACATTTCACTCACTCGGTGACAATGATAATGAACAATGAACTGATTTGAAAGTGATTGTTGGAAATGGTTTAATTGTATTAATAGAAAAGATCGCCATGGTTTTGCGCGCCGCTAAGAAAGCAATGTGACTGTAATGTTAATGTATTCGAAAATGAATGTTCAAAATCATATATCGAAAACATGACACATATTCATGCAACCAACGTTTGCTGCATATTCAATGAATTCGAAAATGCAAAAAAAATATTCAACAAACACAAATCAACATTCGCTTGAAACAATTAGATATGATTAGGTAATTAATTAAAAATAAATGAGCAAATTATAGTTAATATGATATAATTAATGTAAAAAGTATAACTCAAATATTTTTAATAATATAGAAAATCAAATTTAGACTAAAGATTTTTTTTTAAATACAATATAAATATATTACATAATATTAAATAACAAATTTAATTAGCAACTATTGAAAAGGTTTTTTTTTTATCTTTTGAGTGTTTCCGTCGACAAAATATTTATTACATTAATTGATTTCATTACATATATTATACCATACAAAAACGTAAATGTAATAACTTAAAAGCTTAATAAATTATTATTATAATTAATTACTGTATAAATAAATTATATATGGTTATATAATTTATTTGTATTCGCCCTAATTTGGGACAAAGACCAAATAACAAAAGCCTGAGAAATTGTATGATTCATTTAGTAAAATATAAACGTTGTTCTTGTTCTACTTTTAATTATTTTAAGAAATTTCATTGAATATTGTTATTTTCTATTGATTGTAATTATAATAAGTTTTCTAATTAGTAATGAAGATAAATATTAAAGAATTTTATAAAATTTTGATTAATTATAATTAATATTTATATTATTATTATCATTAAATGTAATTGTGTGTTGTATATATATAAGTTTTAAAAATATGTTTTAAAATTATTATTGATTAATAAAATGCGTATAAAATATAAATAGAAACGAAATAGATATTTTTTTATTGAATTAAAGTGTATCAGAAAGGCAACTGGTTTACGAATGAGTAATAATCTCATTTTAGATAAGTCATCGTAATTCTCATCGATACAACAATCTAAATCAGTTTTCTGGTCAATTCCTTTTACGTCTATTTTTCTTAGTAAATGATAAATAAAATTCGACAGACGTAACAAAGAAGAGGTACCAAGCGAATAGGTGTATATGTGAGTTAACTTTTTATTTTTTTTTGTTTACTCCGTGCAGAGTTCGGGGGTGGGGTGAGAGCAGGCGTGGTTGGAGAAAGGAGATCACCAGGAAGTTGTAGGTATATAACGAGCTCGTATACTCATGAATACACTCTCACCGTGTATACCATCAAACGAGCAGCATCATGAAAGTACCAGCTGTGAGTATTAAACACACGTGCATCTAACAAACGCGATTCTTCGTCGCTTGTGTCTCGCGTTACAGTGTATTCAACCTGAGTGGATTTTGTTGCAGGTATTTTTCCTCGTTGTCGTTGCCGTGGCTTTGGCCAAGGAGCAGACAGCGGATAAGGAAAAGCGAGGAGCTACGTACACCACCCAGAGAAACTACGGCGGAGCCGAAGCCGCGTACGCCAAGGTGTCACCGCAGACCTTTGGCGCCACATCCAAGGAATTGGCTTACGCCCAACAACCCCAATACCAGCAGATCAAATACACCCAGTCTCAGCAAGCCCCTCAAGCAGCGTATCAGCAACAACAATACGAGCAGCAGTACGAGCAAGCTTATGCCCAACCGACCGTCACCAAATTGGCTCCATCTAAGGTAAGTCTCCTGAATATAGGACACACTTCTTATAGCAATTTGCGACTCGAATTGTGGAGCGGCGATTTCATCAATTTACAGTTACCTTGAGAGTTTTGCATTCACCAAATGTACCGAGACTATTAGAATTACAAATCCCAATCCACTTATCACACACACACACAAATTGCATTCTAAATCACAAAATATCCATTTCACGCTACAGTTTCAGTAATTATTATTACATATATGTGTATGTGTTTGCTTGTTTTTTGTTTTGTTTGTTTGCTGACATAATGAAAGTAATTATTTCATGCGTAAACCGTGGTCATTAAAATTACTCCCTTGTCTCTCTGTCAGAGCCACCATTCGCGTTTCAAGTTTCACATCGACCATAAGGGAATACAATACCTATAACCATAAACGGGGCAATTTCACTGTTAATTCCTTTTTCCCAACTTCAGCTTCGAATTACTAATTATTTTGTTAATGTTATTGCTAAATGCACAGTCGAAACTGCATTACGTTTCATGGAATTTACAAATGGAAATATTTAAAAGTAATAATTCCGGCATCTCCCTCATCCGATTCATTATTATATAATTGCAGTAAGTTCAATATCATTATCAACGAGATGTAATGAAATTAATTAAATGATCATATAGAAACTATACGAGATACGCTTTTTACTTTATATAGTTTACATTCCTAAGAAATTGCTTGGTGTGAAATTGTTACTTGGATGTAATTAAAGGAGAAACAACATTAGAAATTTGATTTTTCAGTTTATAATTAAGAGTTCTAATAAATATTATTAGATATCTTACAATTAAAGTTTCCATTTAGTTTATCTGGGATAAATTTCGAATTTGTATGCAGAAGTTTCTAAAATATATTTATCGTTTATCGGTGGAAAGATAAATTGCGTATTTTGAAACTTTTACCTCTTTCACGGTATTCCAAAGAAAATATTATTTTAACTGTTTTCCCGCGCGGATGGCAACTGTTGTTTTGTGGCCATTTCAAATGCAAATGAATGCAACGAAAATAAATTACGTTAAACTTCGTATTAATATATGCAGTAACGCAGTGAAAGTCAAGTTCCAAATACGGACCGAGTGGCAGGCACTCGGAATTGATAATAGGAAGATATAATTTCATTGGCGAACGTTGTTGCGTAACTGCGAGCAGTTCCGATTCCGCTCTAATTACGCGGAACACTTTTCGGAATATTTCTCGGTAGGATGCAGCAATTATATATTATACATTGCAGGCAAGGATAAAATGCTGGCAATTGCATTTTGTTTGCAGGCATTTACGTAACCGCTTGTTGAATCTAATTTATCTGCAATGCAATTCCCACAGGTTACGATTCAAATAATTTTACATTGAACTTTCACTGCACGTCGTCGTCCGTTGCCAATGTTGTTTTGTTCCTGTCTTCATCAGCGAGCAACTGCGGTTTCATATATATATATTAAGATCAAGGTGAATGTCTTATGGCTTTTGCTTTTAGACGACGAATTTCTAAGCTGCGTACAGTTTCCAGTTTTTCCTCCAACCAGACCGCATTTTATTGAAACCTTAATTATGTTTCCTATTGCGCTCGATAGATTTATGGTTTCAGATAATCCTGTTCATTCGAAAGTTTGTTACAATAAGTGCACAATGAATCTGTGGCATTCACTTCAGAAGAGCGGCGAACGCGAAGCGAAGATCACATTCACTATTTTAATTGCATTTTGTTTCCAGGTCGCTTACGCCGCCCAAGCGCCAGCCCAAGTTCCGTATTCTTTGGCCTCCGACGTCTCTTCCTTCAGCTACAACAGCCCATTGGTTGCTTACTCTAATTTGGGACTGATCATGCAATCCAGCGGAAAAACCGCCCAAGCTCAAGCTCCTCAACAAGTGCAGTACACTTCTCCAAAACTAGCTTACAGCAAAGTTCCTCAGCAAGTAGCTTACAATGCCGCTCCACAAAAAGTCACCTACGCCGCTGTATCTCCACAACAAGTTGCCTACGCCGCGGCTCCGCAAAGAGTAGCTTACAATTCTCCACAACAAGTTGAGTACTCTAAAGTTGCGTACGCCGCCGCCCCACAGATTGCTTACCCTCAAGCCCCGCAGAAAGTTGCTTATCAGGAATACGATAAAGCCGCTTACGCAGCTGCCCAGCAAGTAACTTATGAAGCTGCCCCTCAAAAGGTCGCCTACGAAGCCGCTCCTCAAAAGTACACATACGAAGCTTCTCCACAGAAAGTCACCTACGAAGCTGCTCCACAAAAGGTAACTTACGAAGCCGCACCACAGAAAGTGGCCTATTCTCAACCAACCTTCACCCCTCAAGAACTTGCCTACGCTCAACAACAATACCAACAATATACCGCATCCCATTCATCTCCAAAAGCAGCCTACGCTTCTCCACAGGCCGAATACTACGCCCAAACTAAATACGCCAATCCAGGAGTTACTTACGCCCAGTAACTCCGCTCATCAGCTAATTTAAAATAAATTTATCTTTTGTAAATACTCCTTCATGCCACTTTCATCCAAATACTTACTTTTTATATATTTTATGTGTTTTTTTTTTATATAATACTATTTTTTTATACCAATTTTTATATATCCTATTACTTAGATTTGTAATGAGCGAGCGTTTACTTTTGTTTTTTGAAATGAAATAAAATTAAACCCTTTAAAATATTGTCTGATACAAAACCCCCGTTTCTCGCTATTGTTGGTAGCGAATTTATGCAATATGGATGGAATTCGTTGGGGAAATTAGCCGAAGCGCGAAATTAGTGTTGTCGACCACAGAGACGTAAATCCGAAAGAGTTGACATTACTTTTCTATCACTGAGCGACAAATTGAGTTTTCCTTGATGGAATTCGTTGTATACAATAGGAACCCCATAATTAAATTCGGTTTTCCATTATTATATGAATTGAAAATTCATTAATTGACAAGTTTTTGAACCAATTATTTCCATCTAACCAAATTCCAAGATCAACTTTTAATTTTCTTACATTACAATTTGATTTTCAGCAATATTTTTAATATGATTGTATAATAAGTTTATAAAGTTATTAATAAATATGTAATAATTTTAATTACAAAAACTCTAAACCTATCTAAAAATTGTTGAAATTAAAACTAACATACAACTAATTTTATTTATATTACCCATTACAAATATATAATAAATATTTATTGAGATAAGAAAACGAAAAGCAATTACTGTTTTCATAAAGATTGGACGTCAGCATAGAACGTAAATTAATTTCGGCTTATTTTGGAGCAAGTTTAATTTAAAATATGTTCGAAAGAAGAAACTTTTGTAATAAATGGAAGAGGGTAGATGTTGGTTGCATCGAATGGACGTACTAAAAATAAAAAAATAAGATATTGCCATCAAAATACATATTTATAGTACATTTTCTTCGTTATATTATACAATAAACTTAATTAATATTGTTTGATTTTTTGTACTGGAAATTGTAAATTCAAGCATTTTCATCATATTCTATAAAATAATAGCAGGCAGCATGGCGTAAAAGCACTGACAAGATTACATATTGTCCATGTTTTCACAGGTAAAATATCTTCACGTCCCCAGACCGTTATATATATTTTTTATTCATTCTGCAGCGTTTGCTTTATTTTTTTCTGTTTCAGAGTAATTCCCGGCGGCGGAAAGGAATGTATTAAAAATGCATGTGGGCTGATTAAAAATATTGTCAACTTTTCCAGGTAATGAATTTTTAAATCCACTCTGAATTGAAATTCCGTCGATTGATCATCGTACTTTTCAAACTGCAGACGCAGCGTGGTATTACACAAAACTGCAAAAAAATATTGCGTAAACACAAAAGTTTATCAAACTGTTGCAATACAAGTTTAGAGCTTCAGTATTTTATTATATTTATTTAAGAATATTTACTTAATTTTGTATATATTTTAGTTTTTATTATAATTAACTTAAAATGTATTTATAAAATATTTTCATAAATAATCGAAAATATATATCTTACCTTAATGATACTTACACTTTATTTATAGAGCAAAAACATATAAGAAACTAATAAAAAAAAAGAGCGAAGAAAGTAATTAGAGAGGTACCTACTTGTCTCTTCTGAGATGAAGGAAGTGAAATACATATACGTAAGAAAATGTTATAAGAAATAGCTTTATTTTTATTTATTTTTTGTTGTTTTGTAACAGTAATTTATATCGTAGCGTATAATTTCACCTAGTTTATAGTACATCATCAACTATTTACCTTCAATTTACATTAATTAATTAATAAGCGTATGTATGGTTAATTTTTAAGAAGTTCCAATGCAAAGCTACGGTTTGGTCCACGGAAAACGGGCTCAGACTGTGGAAACCTCCGGGATTTTGAGGCCAGGAACCGGAAATTCCCACACAATTCCGCGGACGCATCCAGCTTTAGAGGATGCAGGGTAGAACAGGGAAGGAGTTGGGTGGACTTTCGGATGGCGGATGAGGAAATATACATACATAATCTCAATTAAATATAATTAGGATTCGCAATTTTCTAATACTGTTATTAATATCATATTATTATAATTTTATCCATTAATATATTCATATATGTTTCATAAGTCTTATCCTTATTGTATTACAACGTCTTCTGATTATTTACACTTAATAGATTAATACTTGTAATATAATATTAAACAGATCATCGATAAAGTTTATTGGAAATATTATCATATACATATTCTTAATTAATTATGTTTATTTTTTCGTGTATCTAATTAGATTTTTAACGTTTATTTAATGAAGCGTTTATATATATGTTTATAATTATCCGGTCTAGTTTTATTGATATTTCTCTAGTGTGTGAATGCATCCAAAGGTAATTGAAATTACATTTGGTATACATTTTCCATTGTTTGGCAATCTTTGTGCGTTGCATTTATTGTTCCATCCCACATCACTAACAAAATATTTACAATATACAACATCCCTTAATTATTTACCCTTACTGAGATATGGCTTACAGACGTAAAGCTAAAATTACCGTAACTTGTATTAATTATTATGTTTCATTATTTTCTTTATAATATCATCATCATCATCAACAACTTTTATTTAATAAGCTCGATAAATATCTTTTCATATTCGAGGAAAAAACGAATAAAAACAAAATGAAAATCATCGAATGATATGTCTACAGTAAATTCGGAATATTTTTTGTTCTTTCTTATTTAAACACATCTTTTTTTTTATTATTTCTGAAGTCAAGCAAAAGTAAGGAAACAATGTTGAGCAAAGGAAATAAAACGAAGAACGGACGCTAAAGTTTACATCCTGAAGGATAAAACAGAACTCTTATATATGTATATGTACATTGAGCAAAGATGTTTGTATATAAATGGAAATTTATAAAAGCGGAAACAGATCAGATCCGAGAGTGGGAGAGAGTCGGAGTGGATTTGGTTATTTCAAGGCCCGAGATGCATTAACTTCTTGAACGCTTTGCGAAATTCCGGATTGAATATTGTGTAGATGACGGGATTCACGAAGCTGTTCATGTATCCCAGCCACGTTGTGAGCAGGAACGCTGCAACACCGGGTTGGCAGGACAGTCCCAATTTACTGCATATTGCGTCCATTATGTTGCATGTGAAAAAGGGCACCCAGCAAATCAGGAAAACGCCTTAATGGAAGAATAATAATTAGCAATTAACAAGAGGAAACGTGCACCGAGTATATACCTAAAACTATGGCCAGGGTCTTAGTGGCTTTCCTCTCCTTCTTGGCCGAAGACTTTTCGCGTTTCTTCTTGCTCGCTTTGTTCACCTTGTATATAGTGAATCGGGGTGCAGCAGTCGCCTTCCTCTCTTTCTTCGATCCCATAGAGCCATTGTCATTAGCTGGATTCGAAATCGTGGTCACCACAGTCCTGCAACATATCAGAAACCTGGAATTAATCCAATATTCAATAGCTGAAACATCATCTGCAATATGGATTTCTGAAATTGCACATACGCATAAATCAACGTGATCATTGATACGTGGCCAATTAATATTATACAAAAATCATCCGCAAACAGCAAAACATTCAGTTCTGTGCCTCGTTTAAATTTTCCAAATATTTGTTCTGCCTCGCCAACGTTGCCTATCAATTAAATCGGTGGTACAAATATAATTTGTCATTCCAATTACATTCTTTCATATACATATGCGTCTAAAAATGGTACTTAAAATGTTAAATGTTATATATTTTTGTATTTTCTGGGTTGTTGTTATTATAAGTTAATCCTATTAAGAAAAGTTTCTCAGATGTTGCGATTGAAATAGCACATTAGGAGCAAGAAGAATGATCATAGTGTGCGTATAATCGGATTGGAATCAAAACTTGGTGCTGCGAGAAACACAATTTCTTCCGCAGATGTTACTTAATAAATGCGCGCAACTCCCTAGGTATAAATAATCGGGGCAAAGTACTGACAAGCAAAACCAGCAGTGTATTAGATTGAAAGCATTCGTCATCCGCAAGGATAGCTCTCGTATTATTAATTGGGTGGAAACTTGCAACAGCTTGTATCTAGAGCATTTCTAATTTAAACTATTAGAGTACGTCACACGCGAAAGTCCAGAATTCAAATTGATTAACTGAAAGTCTGGAGTAGTGAAGAAGGAAGCAAAAAATGAAGGAATTCTGGACAGGTAGGTGCATGGGCTCGGTATTAAACCGGAACAATTAGGGTGTAGCTCGGGAACAACGACGCTTTGAAATAATTGGCAAGTAAAAGCGAACTAAAAGGGGGGAGTGATTCGCTTTCCCTGCAACCTGTCACTCGTACAGACCTGCCGAAATTCTCTTCCGTCTGAGTTGAAATTGGAGCCGTAGATAATAAAATTTCATCGCATCTCAGTGTTTTCTTTCAAACGCGTCTTATTATTATATTTTCTTCGATCTTATTAAAGTAAATAGGAATGAGAAAAAGTAAAATAAAAGAGATGTTTCATAAGACATGAGTGAAGTTCTGAAAACGCGTGACGGACGCGTTGAAGTCGGTTAGTTCGTAAAGATATTGACGTTGATGGGTAAAAATACTCTCGATCGGAATTATTAAGATGTCGTGCTGAAAGCAGCCACGTTTTCTCTTGACTTTTCAATTAGAATCACGCAGAATATTCTCGTCCACGCCGTAGACTAATGATGTTATTTACAACATCTCAATTCACGACTCGTTCATCAATCATTTTAATCCCGAGCATTTAACTAATTACCTCATCTAAATACATAGAGAAAGAGAGCGGTCGAACTGGCGAGGAACAACAATCGAAAGCAATATAAAACTTCTTCATTCATTCATTCATTCTATGATCACTTCCGTTTCCTTTCGAGACGCGGATTTTATTGCATCGCGAAAGATTGATGATTTAATGAAGTTTCGAAACTAGTGCAATTTAAATGTCTCCTCCTTTCAACACAATTTCATTTACAGTTTGCTGTTTACAAAGAGTCCTCCGCCGAAAATGAGAGCAGGCGATGAAAATTGTTTGGAAAACCCGCCGAGTCGGAAATAATTAAAAGGAAACATGATTGGCATGCCGAATCCGAAAAGAGCAGAAGCGAACGCAGTAAAGGAAATATCAGAGACAACACGTTTTATTTGTTTTCAATCTCTCTCCGAGTTATTCTATGATATTAACTTCTTTCCCATCCGTGGAGTTTTGTTTCTTCTGCTGCCGTCCACGGATATCGTGACTTTGGGAAATTGGAACAACACGAGAGCAAATAGACTTGTCCACATGGGAATACTAAACAGCTTTTGCAGAACACGTAACTCCGTACAAACTAACCACCAGAATGGAAATAAATATACTTCGTACGCTAGCCATTACTCCCTGTTTTAATACAACAATAGCACTGATTTGAAACATGAAATTTCATCAGAATAGAGGACACAACTTGGATATAGATAAATACGGTTCGAGAATTGCTTAAATCTAATTGTAACATATGTTATTCTTCAAATTAGGCTAGTAAATTCTATTTCACTAAGTGATATTTAAGATGCCTGGCATGTACAGGGCACCTGGTCTCGCAATAAAATGTTCTGCAGATCGGCCCTACATCTAACTTGTTGCTATGCGTCATTCCCCTGATCCAATATTGACATATTTCAATGCTTCTTTCCTCGACGCCAAGGGTTCTAAACGCGAAAAAGAAATCCTGTTTTATTTACCTAAGCTCCGTGTCAATCGTGGCTCCATTCTTCTTAACTTGACTCCTGTTCCTTTTGGGACTCTTCACCACCACGTTATCAACTTGACTTGCCGCATAGCCGGAGTCGTTGTTACCATTGGGATCTGCTGCCCTCGGAGGTGGTGCAGCTAAACTTGCCACCACCGATGATATTCTATGAAAAAAAATAAAATTAAATACAAATAAAGCGTTAACCATATATTCACAATTATAAAAAGCAATATTACGACTATAACACATAACATTATTCTTTGTTTTTATGAAGGGGTACTACTAAAAGCTACACGCTCTAATCTTGTTATTGCTCATCATTGTTGAGGTAAAATATTAAAGATATAATTTTTCATGGGAGCATCCGGCTTTTATCTTTATTTACGTGTTGATAAAATGGGGGCGATAAAAAGGCTACGGAGCGAAAAAAAAAAAAAAAAAGGTAAAATTGCTGGTGTGAAAATGATACGAGGTTTTTGAAAAATAATGCGCCACACTCATCGATCATAAACGCGGACCCCACCCCGCAGAGCGCAAATACAGGGTGTCATAAAACTTGAGCTCTCGTATCTCTAAGGATGAACCAATAAAAGTAATCAGATCATTTCATTCAGAATCATTTCTCTATTTGCCATTTCCCATCTAGTTCTACAAAATATCACTAATACTAAAGATTTTCAAAATTCTATAAAAATATAGTTAAATATTATTATTAATAAATTAGAATTTGTTTAATTAATTAAGTAAATTTAATTTTTATTGGTTTATATAATTTATATTATTGAAATAATGTATATTCTTTTATTATGGCTTAATTCAAGAACACCCTGTATTCAAATGTGTGTGCGTTGAGTGTTCTATTTTTCTTTCTTTACAGGAAACACATGCGTCCGTGTCACGTGAGAGACTGTGTTCACAGGCACACACATTTTCGCGTATATGAAATACGTGAGCTCGCAACGCGGAATATTTTTTAAAGATAATGGCGATGAGGAGGAGGAATAGCGGCGATGCGCCGAAATTCAATGAGGTTCTATCCACGAACATACATGTGCATATAATTCATGGCTTCCCTCTTTTCATACGAGATTTATCTTCGAAAAAGTTTACGGTTCGAGTCCATGAATTATATAAGTGTATCTCTAATATTATACACTTTACCTACACCTTGATTATATGATGCGTACCCCGAAGACAATACAGATCAGATCAGATTAGAATCTACGCATCTCAATGTATGCAATTACTTTCCGTGCGTAGACACAAGCAAGGTTGTGTCCCATTCTGTTGATAATGAAGTCGGTGTACAGTGGTGAATAGTGATGCAAACCTCATGGGGGAGGAAGGACAATTCACTGCTGTTCTGTTGCAGGTATTAATCACAGCGAATCCCGTACGCCCACGTGATTTACTAACGTCCCTAATCCCGATTTCCTAAGTATAACTGGAAATCACTTAGTCGATTCGAAAAGCCTCACTATATTTGCATTTCCGCTAAGATTTAATGAGAATTAATTCAACGTGGGGTTCGCTCCATGTCGAATTTAAATTGTAACCGATTTTAAGTCGATTCATTTAATTAAGGAATTATAAATCTTCATCATTTCATATATTTATTTTAGTTTTTCTTTTCCATTATGATGCTGCATAACAAGTTGTGCATATTAGATTATTAATAATTACTTTCTACGCATTAAAAAATGGGGCAAATGCAATATTGTTTACTCGTGTGTAATGAAATGTATTTGCAGATAGCTTCCTCATGATATTAAGCAAATTCTTTCGAGGTAGTAGGCTTGAGTGACCATTGGTGCATAATTGCATCAATTTTGTACGTCTGCAGTTACGCTTTGAAGCGATGTTTAACGAAGTGGTTCATCACGGTTATTTGTTATGTTGAGATGTACCTCCTTCCAATGTAGAACTTGTATAAAAGGTACTCACAACTGCTAACAAAGCATCACTTCTATTTGTGTAACATCTAGAGTGTTAGAGATGAACTCCTTCTTGGTAAGCACTTGTAGTTTATAAATTCATTATTATTAGATTGACTAAGTGAAATTATTATAATTCTTTTTAAAGGTTGTAGCATTGATCTTCGCCGCTACTTCTTGCAGTTATGCAGAAGAGAAGAAAGTCGATAAAAGAGGAGTAATAAGTGGTGGGCATGAATTGCTTGGAGGAGGCGGAGGTGGATTCGGCGGTGGCCATGGAGGAGGTCTCGGAGGTGGATTCGGCGGCGGACATGGAGGTGGCTTTGGAGGAGGAATCGGGGGTGGATTTGGAGGAGGATTTGGAGGTGGTCTTGGCGGAGGCGGCGGCGGTGGAGGCGGTGGAGCCACTGTAACAACTATCAATCAAAACGTTCCAGTCGCGGTACCACAACCCTATCCAGTTACAATCACAAGACCGGTAGCTGTCCCTGTTCCCGTACAAGTACCATACAATGTACCTCGTCCTTACCAAGTATCAGTGCCAGTACCTCAAACTGTAATTGTACCAAGGCCATACCCAGTCACCGTAACCAGGAGAGTTCCTGTTCCTGTACCACAGACCATCCAAGTACCAGTACCACAACCTGTTGGCGTACCAGTACCACAACCGTATCCAGTTACTGTTGCTCAACCTGTCCCAGTTAGAGTACCACAAACCGTTGTTGTACCAGTGCCACAAATCGTCAATGTTGGCGGCGGCGGTGGAGGAGGTGCCGGATTCGGTGGAGGATTTGGCGGAGGACTTGGAGGAGGAATTGGAGGTGGATATGGAGGTGGATATGGCGGTGGACATGGATTGGGTGGTGGATTTGGCGGCGGACACGGAGGCGGTGGAGGAAGTTACAGCTTCTCGTCTGGAAAAGGAAGTGGACATTTTTCCTCTTTCTCCGGAGGACATGGAGCGTCTGGTTTCTCTAGTGTTTCCTTAGGTCATGGTCATTAAACATCCAATTTATTAATAAAATATCTCACATGTAAATTTTCCATCAATATTATAAAAGAATTTATTTGAACTTATGCATTGTTGTTGTTATTTTATTATCCCAATGGTTAATATATAATTTTGAAGAGATTATCAAAAACAATATATATAAAATAAATAAACTATACGATATAGTAATATCCCAAAAATAAAGCTTCGACAAATTTTTCAAAAGACATAACGTATGTTATATACTCATAATCACTTTTCTCGCTCTTAACCTGATGTAATTTTTATACTATTCAGACAAAAAATCTTAATTTATCTTATATTAATTGCAAATTTGACTTGTCATTAATAATTATCATGAAAATCCTAGATATTACTGTAATTTACTAAATGCAATTGAAATAATTAAAAGTTATAGTACTATAAATAATATTACTAACAAATATACCAATTAAGGATTATAACAAATATTCCGTTTTTGTTTGATCTAAATTAAATAGTTTAATTAAATATCTTTACTTTTGGTAAAAAATTTAGAATATAATTTTCACATAAATTTTAATAAATGACATTTATAAAATCAATACCCATTTTTATTATTTTTTTATTATATATTCTATAAATTGAACGTACTTTCAAAATCTTAAAATACTAAAATTGAAGTCATCTTGATCAATAAATTTATTTTAAAATATAAATATCTTTTAGTACATCAAACCAAACGGTTTACTTTCACCACTATTCCTAGTGCTTTGCAAAAAATGTACTATGTAAGAGGGAATCTAAATAATCGCCGGCAGTCTTCTGTTCATATGATCAATATAAATATATGAAGCGGAATGATGGTGAGTTCAAAAAGTAAAATAAATCCGTTCGTGTCTTTTTAGTTTTCGATTTAATAAATTGCAAATTGAAAGTGATTTCAAACTGAATGTGGAGATAGCAGGAATTATAATTGCACACACTTTAAGAAGAAGTAAATTATTTACGCTTCCTGTGTTATACATTCTCATTAATATATTTATAAATTCCTCTGAATCAGATAGAATGCACTACAATGTTTATTATTTAATATGAAGCTACCCCTTCTTTATACGAGAAGTGGTGGAATTACTATAAAAGCCTCAGCGATTGTAAGCAAAGCATCACTTCCATTTGTTTAACAACTAAGAGATTTGCGATGAATTCCTTTTTGGTATGTAATTAATATATAAATATGAATTTAAATAATCATTTCGATATTTTATAGGCTGCTTTTTTAATCCTCGCCATTTCATCCGGCTCTCGTGCTGAAGATAAGAGAATCCAAAAAAGGGGTTTAATTAGTGGTGGCCATGAATTGTACGGAGGAGGCGGAGGTGGATTTGGCGGTGGTCATGGGGGTGGTATTGGAATCAGTGGCGGCTATGGAGGATATATTGGAGGTGGAATCAGTGGAGGACATGGAGGAGATATTGGAGGTGGAATCAGTGGAGGTTATGGAGGAGATATTGGAGGTGGAATTGGAGGTGGCATCGGAGGTGGATTTGGAGGCGGCGTAGGCGGAGGAGCTGGAGGAGGCGGAGGCGGCGGTGGTGCTACCGTAACAACCATCAATCAAGCAGTTCCAGTTCTTGTACCACAGCCTTATCCTGTTACCATTACACGTCCAGTAGCTGTACCAGTACCAGTTCAAGTACCATACACAGTACCTCGTCCAGTACAAGTTTCAGTACCAGTACCTCAAACTGTAATTGTACCAAGGCCATATCCAGTCACTGTCTCTAGGCCAGTACCTGTACCAGTTCCTCAAGCAGTTCCGGTACCATTCCCACAACCAGTCGGTGTACCAGTACCACAACCTTACCCCGTAACTGTCGCTCAACCTGTCCCAGTTAGGGTACCTCAAACTGTTGTAGTACCAGTACCACAAATTGTCAACATCGGCGGCGGCGGTGGAGGAGGAATTGGCGGAGGAATCGGAGGTGGAATTGGCGGAGGAATTGGAGGTGGAATTGGAGGTGGCATTGGAGGAGGATATGGAGGAGGATATGGAGGAGGATATGGAGGAGGATTTGGAGAACATGGAATCGGAGGTGGATTTGGTGGCAGTGGACATGGATTTTCACAAGGAAGTGGTCATGGTGGTAGCGGTAGTTACAGCTATGGATTCTCAGCTGGAAAAGGAAGTGGATTTAGCAGTGTGTCCTTAGGACATGGTCATTAATTATGTTACATTATTAATCAATTGTATATTTTTTGTTATAAATGAAATAAAATATAATTCAAATACTTGATATTTATTAAGAATACAACCAGCCACCATTTTTACTTTTTAAATATTCAAATATAAATAATAGAAAGAAAACTAAACTGAAGAATTTAACAAGAAAATAGCATAAATGTATAATAGATAGAAAACAAATATTTATTTGTAAGATCTACCAACATGGATATTGCGAATGAAGCATTATATTTATATTAATGAATGATCAGTTCTAGTTTTTACTCTTATATTTTGTCTGAAACAATCTTTATTTCAATAGATATTTAAATACTCTAAACTTTGTTCGATTTTATTGATTTGTTATTTTTCAATAAAATTTGATTGAAATTATTTACATCAATTTAAAAAAAAACCTTCCAAATACTTTATATTATTGCAATAATGAACTTTATTTTAGTTCTACATTAATATTATATTTAAGGGCAGAAAGACCTATGGTCAATAGCCCTTTGTATCAGTTGACTTTTTTTTTTAAATTATATAGATATATTTATTTTTTTGAACTGATGCAATAAACATTATTATTATAATTAATGAATTTTGTAAATATTACTATCCAAAAGTAACTTTCAAATAATTCCTTGCAGAAAATCAATAAAATTACTAATAAAATGTATATACTTAATCCTAATATTTAAGGAGTTCTCCGTTAAATGAAAATAAAATAATAATAAAATAATTTAATTAATTATGCCAAAACCAATGTTTTCTTTAAAATTTCTCTTTATATTTTAATATCAAATTAATAAAAATTTATATTTGTTGAAATGAAGTGAACAAATTCAACACGTTTTGGAGGAAAGTTTACGGTTGATAGGCTCAATAATCATATTCAAATACATCTCTTTAAGATTTGATTCTTCTGAATAAGACAACACAGCTAAATTATTTTAATAAGAGATATGCGTTAATTAATTAACACATGCTGTAATTCCGAAGAATTTTAGTATAAAAAGCAATAATTATTTAGATGAACACTGAACATTTAAATACCCCTTCCATTGTGATCAATAGAGGGTAAACGCTTGTATAAAAAGGATAAGCAGTAGAGCTACAACCATCACTTCTATTTGTTTAACATCTAAAGCAGTAGTGATGAAATTCATTTTGGTAAAAATTAATTCAAGTATATAATAATATATTCAAGTTAAACTTTTAGGTATCAGCTGCAGTCCTCGCTGTGTTTTCTAGCAGTTATGCTGAAAAGACAGTTGAAAAAAGAGGCATAATTAGCGGAGGTGGATTTAGCGGTGGCCATGGAAATTATCTTGGAAATGGAAACGAAGGTGGATTTGGAGGCCACGGTGGTTTCGGAGGTGGATTTGGAGGAAGCCACGGCGGTTTTGGAGGAGGATTTGGAGGCGGTGTTGGTGGAGGATTTGGAGGAGGTTTCGGCGGTGGAGCTGGAGGTGGTTTCGGCGGTGGAGCTGGAGGTGGTTTCGGCGGTGGAGCTGGAGGCGGAGGTGCCACAGTAACCACAATCAACCAAAATGTACCAGTGGCTGTACCACAACCTTACCCAGTCACTGTAACTCGACCAGTAGCTGTGCCAGTTCCAGTCCAAGTACCATACACCGTGCCACAGTACCTCGTCCAGTCAAGTTTCAGTACCAGTACCTCAACGTAATTCGTACCAAGGCCATATCCAGTCACCGTCTCCAGACGTTCCACAAGCTGTACCAGTTTCAGTACCGCAACCTATCGGTGTACCAGTACCACAACCGTATCCAGTAACTGTCGCTCAACCTGTCCCAGTTAGGGTACCTCAAACTGTTGTAGTACCAGTACCACAAATTGTCAACATCGGTGGAGGAGGAGGAGGTGGTGCTGGAATCGGAGGAGGATTCGGAGGTGGTATTGGAGGAGGATTTGGAGGTGGGATTGGAGGAGGATTTGGAGGTGGAATTGGAGGACATGGAATTTCTGGAGGATTTGGAGGCGGCCATGGAGGCAGCTACTCTTCTGGATCTTCAGTCGGCGGTGGAAGCAGTCATTTTTCGTCCTTTTCTGGAGGCCATGGTGCATCCGGATTTTCAAGCATTTCGTTAGGACATGTCCACTAAATGTACCATTTGTAATAATCTTGTTAATTTCCAATAAATAATTTAACTCAAAGTTCTTATAATTGCATACAATTCAAATAATATCTAAATTCAATTTATGAAACCGATAAAAATATTTCATAAATTGAATTTTGAAAATCAGTTCGATTCTATTTAGAACTTACATTTTTATGATGAATCTAAATTTAATTTATATACAGATTAAATCTCATAATGGATAATCATCTGTCATATCAATGATTATTTATACTAAAAATATATCAAAATGCATTTGTCTGGTGTTCATTGAAATAAGATAAACAATAGTATAGAAAAAATGATCAACAGTCCTTATGTTATATGTAGATACTATAACTTCTTTATTAATACTAAATATTTTTAATAGACCCACTGTCGTTAATACGAAGTTTTTCTGCAAACGTTTTTTATTATTATTAATAATAATATCATTTACTGCAACAAATTACCTTTATAGAAACTGAATAAAATAACATAATAAGAAAAAATAAACAAATTCATTTGCTGCAAAGGCCATAGGTTATTATTAATATTATTAAGAAAATTATTTATAACTTATTATAATGAGTATCATATTTTAACGAAAAAATAGAAACATAGCAATTGTTTTCCTATATTTTTGTGACTAAAACAAAATAAAGCACTTATTCTTAATTTTGTTCTGCTTATTATTGATAATAATTGATATCGTTTTGTAAACAAATTCTATACATTTTAATTAGAATGCATTGTAACTTATTTTAACATATCCGGACAAAGTATGCTAATTAAGGTGTTAAAGATATGAAGTAGATTTAATGGTCTGGTAAGCTTTAAAGCATTTTAAATATTGAAGATGATAATTTTTAATTAATTTACAAATTTTATGGAAAAATAAATTTGAATTATTTTTTAATTATATATACCTAGTTTATTATTTAAAAAAATATTCCATATTCACTAATCATGTCAAAAAAGTTAACGTAATAAATATATTTATGTATAAAATGTTTGACATTTGCTCAATTGAATTTGTTTATATATAAATATTTTTGTAGTTTTATACTTTTTTTTATATTTTATATTGATATTTATTTGTCATTTATGTTCCATTTTATTTGGGCTGTAAATATATATTATGAGCATGGAAAATCTACGTCCAATAGCCATTTGTATGTACGTTTACAATAAATAATGAACATATTATTATTTATTATAAAAGTGAAAAAACTTTTTGTATTATATTTTTATATAAATATGTTTCAATGAAATACCAGAAATATGATTGGTAAATAAAAATCCCATATTTCTAATATACTCCTTCCCTCGTGATCAACGAAGGGTAAACACTGGTATAAAAAGAACATGCAGCAGAGCTACAGTATCACTAATATTTCTTTAACATCCAAAGCAACAGTGATGAACTCTATTTTGGTAATAATAGTTCATACTTGTTATATATAGATATATACGTTATTTTTTTCAGGTCGCTACTTTTATCCTCGCTGCATTTTCCAGCAGTTATGCGGAAACTAAAATAGTTGAAAAAAGAGGCATAATTAGTGGAGGCGGAGGTGGATTCGGTGGAGGCCATGGAGGTTATTCAGGAAGTGGATATGGTGGAATTCATGGAGGTGGATTCGGCGGAGACTACGGCGGTTTCGGGGGTGGATTTGGAGGGGTGCAGGTGGAGGATTTGGAGGTGGTTTCGGCGGTGGAGCTGGGGTGGATTCGGTGGTGGAGCTGGAGGTGGAGGTGCCACAGTAACCACTATCAACCAAAATGTACCAGTGGCCGTACCACAACCTTATCCAGTCACGTAACTCGACCAGTAGCTGTGCCAGTTCCAGTCCAAGTACCATACACCGTGCCACGTCCTGTTCAAGTCTCTGTACCAGTTCCTCAACCTTTTGTTGTA